CATCAAGGAAGGGAACAGATCTTAAATCATCTTCGAGAAAAATTTTGGATTATCAAGGGAAGAGCTGCCATCAAAAAATGTCAAACATCCTGTATGATATGTAGGAGAAAAAATCGTAAGACTGAGTCACAGCAAATGGGACCAATACCTAATTGTCGTATAACTCCTCAAGTCAGGGCATTCATAATAACTGGAATGGATTATTTTGGTCCTATATCCGTATCCATTGGTAGAAGGAGAGAAAAACGATATGGTGTTATTTTTACGTGTATGTCTACCAGAGCAATCCATTTAGAGCTCGCTTTCTCTCTTACAACCGACTCAGCAATAATGGCAATTCGGAGGTTCATTTGCCGAAGAGGTAGCCCTTCTGAAATATACTCAGATAATGGGACTAATCTTTGTGGAGCCGAAAAAGAAATGAAAAACGCTCTTCAAGACATAGTAAATTCGAATCAAGTTCAAAATTTCTGTTGTAATAGGCATATAAAATGGTTCCGAAATGCCCCAGCAGCTAGCCATATGGGAGGAGTATGGGAACGCATGATAAGATCTGTAAAAGATGCTCTCAAAACAATTTTGACTGAACAATATCCTAAAGAAGAGATGCTACTGACTTTACTTGTGGAAGTAGAGTATACCGTAAATAGCCATCCACTTACATACGTTTCATCAGACCACAACGACTACGAAGCCCTAACACCAAACCATTTTCTCATTGGTAGATCCCATGAAGTCAGTCCTCCAGGAACTTTTTGTGACACAGATCTTTACCTAAGAAAGCAGTGGCGTATTGCTCAAAGATTTGCCGACCAATTTTGGAAGAGATGGCTTAAGGAATATGTGCCAACTCACTATTGATCACAGCACATTTTATTTTTAGGTTTAATGATCTGGAGTATATTCCACATCCTAAGTCTTGTTTTAGTTTTAGAACCATCGATGTAGATATGAATCGTACCTGCTATACTTGCTGCTCTTTTATTTGTTCTGTTATAACTTTATATGGCTTATGGAAGATATACCTTGGTGAGATGGAGTCCATGTTCTCTTAAAGCAGTGAGAGCGTATCGAGCGCCTCCTGCTAAAAGCTACGTCTCGCCTCATCAGATCCTACATCAGTTTCTATTCCAACCATGCGGAGGCGTGTCATTCTCATCACAGTAACCTCCTTGATGTAAATATTAAGGGGAGTGAGACTAAGAATGACTTCCATGGTTCTGGTTCGTGTGGCTTTCATGGCTCCTGTTATGTTATGACATGCTGTTCTTTAAATTACTTCTAGTTTGCGGATAGTTGTCAAATTTTGAGTTTTTAGTACCCAGACAAGTATACCGCCCAGACAACACACATAGTCCAGTGTCCACACTTTAGATCCATTTGAGGGCCAGAACGTCCATATCCGTATTCGGACATCCAGTGTACGTGCGTTTATGATTATTAATTTGACAGCTGCATATCGATGTCCAGAGGACGTCTCTTTTCGGACTTAATTTTAAGTTTAGTATTATTTTGACGTCCATCTTAGGTCATTATTTATTTAGCCTACCAGATAATACCCATCTATATATATATATATATATATATTTTTAATAGAATTGGTCATAAAAAATTGACAAATTAAATCTATTACATTTTATTTTAACAGCGGAAGTTTGAAATCTTATTCTATTATAACCGTATCTAGTAAGAATTTTTCAAGTGGCTCCTTGGTCGAGGTCGCCTAACGCTTGAATGCCCAGACACAGTTTATAACTAAAGAATCAGTTATTCGCTCACTCTGCGTCGGCACTTTTGATCTCAATGTTCCAGTTTATACCCTGCGCAACTCAGATTTGTATCCCTGACGCATACAGACTTAAATCATAACAAATACAATATATGACAACTGCCTATATTCAGACAGCAGTCTTCTGCGCATCCTGAATTTGTATCCCTGGAGTGGATATTATTTTGGAATATTCAACTGGTCCAAGTAAGCTAACTGATTCTTTAGCAATAAACTGTGACTTCGGAACAGCATTTTGAATAAGAAGTTACCGTATTAATCGTGATAACAATAATAACGTAAAAAAATTAATAGATTGGTTTTTCTAACATTCGCCTTTCCTGCAATGAAAGAACTTATGTCAATAAGTACTGGAGTCATTTTAGCTGTAAAAGCAAATAGTATCAAGATATCTTGAAAACATTTTTTTTACAATATGGCGGCGACGGCGGTAAAATAAAAAAGAGCAGTTAAAAATACATAAAATCGCCAAATATCAAAACTTCCGCAAATTTTTCCAGCTAAAGGCAATATTATACAGCACCTAATTACTGGAGTAACGAGTAAAGAGAAATTTTTAAGTGTAGTCTGTTGATTTCTATACCGGGTGTCCCAGATTTTTTTGCCCAGCGGATATCTCGGTTATTTAATGATATAAAATTGTAAAAAAAAATATGAATAATATTTGTCTAGTAGCCTTTTAAATTCCACTACATAAAGTTATATTCATCAATCCACCCCATAGGAACAACCCCTAACTTTTTTTTTTCAAATGTCACCCCTATATTTTTTTTCGCTGATATAAATACTCAATTTGTCCCGAATACAACGATATGATTTTTGATATACTTTACAGAGTCATAAAGCCGGTAAAGACTAAAAACCAATGTTGTGGTTAAAGTCATTAATAATTAGTTTACATTTTATCATTTTATTATATTAAAAAATAACAAATCCAATGAATAGGTAAACCTCTTAATATGTTTTTTAAATAATTGAATATTTACAAAAATTGTTCGAAATGGCCCCCATTACTTGCCAAACATGCTTCAAAACGTCGAATGAGTTCACGAGTACATGACGCTGTAATCATTTCTGGTGTAATGTTATTGCAGGCTTGTACTATTTTATTTTGCAAATCTTCTAAATTCAATGGCTGTGTTTCAAATACCACGGTCTTCAGATATCCCCATAAAAAAAAATCTACAGGCGATAAATCTGGTGAACGCGCAGGCCACCTCAAAGGGCCGCTGTTTCCGATCCACTGATTTTCAAAGCGTTCGTTTAAAAATTGGGTAACTAAATTACTATTATGTGGAGGAGCTCCATCTTGTTGCCACCACATAGCACCTCTTTCTTGTATTGGAATTTCTTCAAGAAGTTCTGGAAGGTCATTTTCAAGAAAGTGTAAGTACCTAGCACCAGTTAACGTACCTTGAAAAAAATAGGGACCTATCAGTCGTCCCTGAAATAATCCACACCACACATTTACTCCCCAGATGGTCTGAAAGTTAGTTTCCCTAACCCAGTGAGGGTTTTCAGGAGACCAATAATGCATATTGTGACGATTTACAGTAGCATTATTGTGAAACCTTGATTCGTCACTCCACAATATCTGGTTCAAAATGTTGGGATTTCGTTCCATTAAATCTTCAAAATGTGCTATTAATGTTATCCTTCTTTCGAAATCTCCAGCTCTAAGTTCCTGATGCAAATGAATTTTAAACGGATGAAAATTATAGGATTTTAGGATTCTTTGTACTGACGACTTACTAATATGAACCTCGTTAGCTAGGTTTCGCGTCGATATCTGGGGATGTACTTGCACATAAGCTAATACATTAATGCACATTTCTTCAGTTCTTACAGCAGCAGCATGTTGACGATGTTTGTCTTTTCCTGGAAATGACCCTTCTCTCATCCTAGTCTCAACATAAGAATATGTTTTACGTGATGGTTGTCGGCGCTCAGGAAACCTCTGTTGATACAAGTGTACAGCAGCACGAGAATTTTTTTGGCACTCACCAAAAATTAAAAGCATATCAACATATTCGTTTGGAGTGAATGTAAAGGGCATTTTGTCTGTTGTTTATAGCTAGCGAACAATTTCAGAAATGGTCTAAGCATATCGTTAGTTATAGGTAACAAAAAAAAAACAAAAACGAAGCAATTCTAATCAAAATAAAAAGAAAATACCAGGTGATACAAAATTAATGACTTTAACCACAACATTGGTTTTTAGTCTTTACCGGCTTTATGACTCTGTAAAGTATATCAAATATCATATCGTTGCATTCGGGACAAATTGAGTATTTATATCAGCGAAAAAAAATATAGGGGTGACATTTGAAGAAAAAAAAAGTTAGGGGTTGATCCTATGGGGTGGATTGATGAATATAACTTTATGTAGTGGAATTTAAAAGGCTACTAGACAAATATTATTCATATTTTTTTTTACAATTTTATATCATTAAATAACCGAGATATCCGCTGGGCAAAAAAATCTGGGACACCCGGTATACCTTTAAAATTTGCATTTTTCTCACTTAATAATTCTTGATTCGCCTTTTGTAGATTTCAATAAATGTAGAACAAAACTAAAAACTAACAAATTTCAACGCCTCTGACCGCCCATCTCTATCTGTGGCCTTTTAGGAATTATTCGCATTAAATAAAATGTTCTTTGGCCACCCAACTAAAATGATCCTTTAGTCCAGTGGTTTCCAACAGATATTTTGAAAGCAACGTTCCACATAAATTTTTTGAATTTTAGGCATTCTTCATGTGTATGCATATTTTCGAAATAATATAAATAATAAATTGAAATCCCAAAATCCATCAGGACACCATAAAAAGAAATAGCATTGCCATCATTCAAAAACAGATTGACATATCAAAACTGGTAACATTTTTGGAATCTACGAGGTATTCTGTTATATTTTCAACTAAATCGAAATCCCAAAATCTTTTTAAACCTGTCAAATAAATAATTTACATTTTCATTAATAACTCAAAAACGGATGAAAGAAACGATGTCATTTTTAAAATCAATGCGGTATTCTCTATCAGTGTGCATATTTTCAACTAAATCTCAAAAACATGCAAGTTGCGACTTAAAAAAGTGAACGAGACTTTAAGTTTAAATATATAGAATGTCTGTATTTCAATATAGGTTGACAAATAGATGTATATATGATTAAAGTGGTTTTATTAAAATTATTTATCATACAAAAACCTTGTCCCCCATTCCATAACAAACAAAACTCTTGATTCCTCAGATAACTTATCCTCATTATGCAAGGAATAGGGATTTTTCTCTAAATAAAAATAAAAATTAAAAAACAATAATCTTATAAATTTATTTATTATTACAAGTCCTGTAGATAAAAACAAGAATCGAATTTTAATGAATGACTCAGCCCTGTTTCTGAGCAAGTTCCTTAGCCTTGGCCCTCTCCAATTTGGCAACACGGGCTGATGATTTGGAACCAAGTAGACCGCCACCCCAGTGCCTCCTGATTTCATCAGCTCTGTCATTGAAGTTGGTCCTGATGACCTCCAAGAGTTTGTTGAAGTTTGACCTGGAAGAAAAGGGGATTTTAAAGATTCTAATCAATAATTCAATAATGATCATAATTTTTCTTATATTCCAGTATTGAGGGTTATTAATTTTCAAATAAATTTTTCCATGTGCTTTATTTCGATTGTTTTTGCGAAATTTAAAAAAAGGGATTTTGATGGTCTAATTGATAATATTTTTTTTTTTTTTATTGAATAATATTTATCATTTTTCTATTCTTCCATCCTTGAGAGTTATTAATTTTCAAACACACTTTTTTCATTTTTAATTAATTTTGTGAAATTTTGAAGAGGATATTAAATTTAGATATTTCTTGTACTCCAGTAAAATTGAAACTTATTAATTTTTAAACATAATTTTCAAACACAGTTTTTCATGTTTTTAGTTGATTTATTGATTTTTTTTAAATTTTAAAAAGGTGATTTTGAGCCTTCTTATCAATAATTCAATGGTTATTAATTGAATAATAAACCTAATTTTTCCCATGTTCCAGTAATATTCATGGTTATTCATTTTTTAAACACATTTTCTCATATTTAGTGGTTTTGTTGATTTTTAATCAATAATTGAATGATTATCGAATAATAGTCATAATTTTTCTCTGGTTCTAGTAATATTGAAAATTATTAATTTTGAAAACACATTTTTCATGTTTTTCAGTTAATTTTTTTTTGTGAAATTTAAAAAAGAAGATTTTTGTGACTTCTTATCAATAATTCAATGGTTATTTATTGAATAATAAACATAATTTTTCTCATGTTCCAATAATATTTAGGGTTATTAATTTTTAAATTTTTTTCATGTTTAGTAGTTTTGTTGATTTTTTTCTTCTGAAATTTTAAATAGTGTATTTTGAGGCTTTTAATAAATAATTGAATCATTATTTATTGAATGTTCATATTTTTCTAGTGTTTTAGAAATATTGAAAATTATTAATATAGATGTTTTCATGTTTTTTAGTTATTTTTTTTTGTGAAATTTTAAAAATAAGATTTGGAGGGTTCTTATCAATAAATCAATGGCTATTTATTAAATAATAAACAAAATTTTTCTCATGTTCCAGTAATATTGAAGATTATTAATTTTCACACACATTTTTCCATGTTTTTTAGTTATTTTATTGATTTGTTTTTGTATAATTTTAAAAAGGTGATTTTGAGGCTTCTAAACAATAATTCAATGATTGTTGATTGAATAATAATAATTTTTCTATTCTTTTAGTAATATTATTGATGAAAGAATGCTTTCTTTATTTTAGTATTATGTTATATTTGAATTTTCATACTATATGTACATTGAGCAGAGTGTGTTCGAGCAGTTGCAAGAAATGGGAACCACAATACTGTTGGAACAAGAAGTGCTGTGTTGTTTTACCAGCTAACTTACCTGTCTTTAAATTAGTGCTCAAGATTTAAATATTCTCACTACGCTACTGGATTCAACACCAAGGTAAGATGTGTATTCGAAGGTCACAATCAATTTTTACATTGTGAAAAAGAAATTTTTATCTCTCCATTTGTTGAACTATTGTCAACAAATATTGAGAGTGTTATTAATATTCAAACATATTTTTTCATGATTTGTATTTACTTTTAATTTTAAAAAGGGCATTTTGAGGCCTCTAAATAATTCAATGGTTATTTATTACAGTAATGTATGGATAATCTGAACAGATTAAAGAATACATAATTATATAAACAAACTGAACATATTCATCCTTAACCATACAAATACATTCCCACCACAAAAAAATATACTCAATGGCTATAAAAATCTTTATGTACGTAAGTACATATGTATTTCAAAATAAAAACAAACTAAAGAAGCAAGTGCACATAAAGGGTAGTTCGGATTACGGAATTCTGGGTTCAGATTGTGGATTTCATTTTATTCCATTTGGGCATTTGGTATTTAGGATTAAAGGGGATTTAGACTATTATTACTGTATTCCAGTAATATTGAGGGTTATTAATTTTAAAACACATTTTGTTTCGCAATTTTTTTTGCAAATTTTGAGGCATCTCATCAATAATTCAGTGATTGTTTGGTAATAATTATCATTTTTCTCATATTCCAGTAATATTGAAGGTAATGATTTTATTTTTATTTTTTGTAATGATAGTTATACCACTTTCCACTGCGTTGATTTTTAAACAGTTTCTGGTAAAATATATTTAATTTAAAAAAATCTTACCTATCTCCAGAATCAACTTGTGTAAGGGCAATAGCAGCACACGTTTTGCGTCTTACAAGAAGCCCCAACCTTGCTTTGCCTTTAACTATACAGTATGGTACTCCCATTTTTCTGCATAAAGCTGGCAGGAAAAGTACCAACTAAAAAGAAACATAAAATTTAAAATTTGAACACAACTTCTAGCACATAAAAATAAATGTAATATTGGTAAGCTCAGTGTCACGTATCTTCATTTTTAAATAATTCTTTTTAGAAAATATTATCAGGTGAAGAAATTCAAAAGCATCATTGCAAAATACAAATTTTATCCATAAAAAGTTTAAACAAATAAGCTATACTCACTTCAATTGGATCTACATCATGTGCAATGATGACTAATTGGGCCTTTTTCTGCTCAATAAGTTTAGTAACGGTATTTGTACCAGCTTTTAAGGTATTTGGCTTTTTGGTGGGCGCATCTTCTTTTTTTGCTACTTTAGCTTCAGCTTTAGCTTTTAACCTATTCTTTTTTTGTAGTGCAGTCTCTGGCCTGTACTTTTCCAAAACTTTAAAAAGTTGAGTGGCTAAAAATCAAAGAAACATTAATTGTAAATTTTTAAAAGTTAAATTCAGTGAATTTACCTGTTTGTTTGTCAATGGTTTGGGAAAATTGGTTGATTGGTGGTGGGACTTTCAATCTTGCTTGTAAAACAGCCTTTTGTCTTTGAATGCGAATATATTTGGGCCACTTAACAAACCTTGATAAGTCTCTTGGGGGCTGAATATCTTGACCTGTAATTACATTTTATAGTAAATATATAAATACTTAAAATTTCAAAAAGACTTACCAATTCCAAAATTCCTAGGCCTTTTTTCAAAAAGAGGGTTTACTTCTTTCTTTGCTTCAACTTTTTTCACAGCTAGAGGGGCTGCGGCCACCTTTTTGCCTGACTTCTTCTTGGGCTGAAAACATGTTTTTATCAAAGCTTATGAACTTTAAACGCACAAAACTTAGTGCCGTAATGTGTATGAATATCAGACAATCTATGGTGGTAGAGTGTTTATCTTCAAAACTCTTCAGATAGCAAATACGGTCATCATGTCATAACCTAACTTAACTTTTATTTTTGAACTAGTTTTTAAAAATTGTAACAAATCTCAAGTTTGTGTATATAATCTCTATATCTTACGAAAACACGTTTCAATCCATATTACTTTCTTTACAATTGAAATATTTGAAATAAATGTTATAAACATTCAACCTGTCATCAATCCAGTGGACTTTTTACGAAACTATTCATGAAACGACTCCAAATATCAAATGAAAAATATTAGACATATATCGTACCTTCTTTTGCACCATCTTAGAACTTAAATCCTTAAAGGATGTCTTTGATATTAAAAAATTATATTATAAACCACAGACAACCTCACGTTTGTGCAGTTGTCAATGGAAAAAGAGCGAAGTTCGCATGCGCGATGTGCCATTTCCCAGTTCTACCACTAAAAAAAATATATTTTACCAAATCAAACTAATTGGTAAACGCGGAAAATTTAAAAGGTTTAGGGTCGATTCCACCGTTGTGTTAAACGGAGATTAAAATGACATTGTTAATGTAAAAATGTCATTTTAAACTTCGTTTAACACAACGGTTCTGTGACAACGGTGGAATCGGTCCTTAGGCAAAGTATACAGATTCAATGATAAATTTAATGAAAATGTATGTTTCGAACTACCAACAGTCTTTCATGCAGTTTAAAATGGTTGTGAATCGTCTTTTGAAAAGTTCCGTGAAGAACTTTGTGTTGTGAAGCGAAGCCACTAAACGCAGACATCGATTTGTTTCTGATACTTAGGGGCCTATTCAGTAACTCTGAACGACGTCGTTAATAGACGATAATCGTTCACAGACGACTTTTCTTATTCAGTAGACAACGATTGTCGTTGAAAATAGACAAATATGGTTGTAAAATTGTCGTTCATCAACGATAGCCAAAGAGCTGTCGTTAATAATATGAAGTGTCGTTATAGTGATTTTTGCATTCCCTCTCATTTTTCATTGTTTTAAATAATAAAAGCACTTTTTTACAAATTTTACAACTAAATTGACATCTACCTAATACAGCAAGTACAATTTGTAAGGAATTTTTTTCTAATTTATTTAATTATTTTAAAAATAAATCTGATTCAAAGTTAGGATTGCCCATTCAACCATTTACTATTCGATTCTTATTAACAGTGCTGTTCTTTGCGAAACAGTAACAGAACCTATATTATGGAAGTACCTATAATACTTCTCCGTAACCTACACAAATTTGGTTTGTCTTTCAAATCCAATAAATACAATTTGTACTGTTCTCGAGTTGTTTTTTGTATTCTTATGGAATAGTTCTCAGTTTTTTTTAATATATCCATACTCATTTAAATAAACCCTACATACAATACGACCAGCAAAAATGGCCCGCGAGAAACAGAATTAATTACTACGAATCGAGAATCGATCCCCTGATGATCGTGTTGTAGGTTTAAAGAACAATAATTAATATATTCAGAAAAACAAATGAATATATCTACTAGTTCCAAAAAAATGTCAAATATACCGGGTGTTCAAAGAGCAATAATTAATATATTCTGAAAAACAAATGAATATATCTACTAGTTCCAAAAAAATGTCAAATATACCGGGTGTTCAAATTAAAGGGTTACAGTTAAATACCGCCTTTTATAAAAAAAAACAAAGTTTTATAGTTTTTTGGGGAAAAATTTTGGCTAAAAATGTTTTTTTATAGCAAACCATAATATGGCCAACTTTTTTTCGCGCAGCAAAATTTTCAAGTAGGTGTTACTCAATAAGTAGAAATCCAATAAAAAAAATGTTTCCTTTAGGGCCGATTTTAACACAACGGTGGAATCGGTCCTTAGAAGTTTCTTATTTGTTTATGAACTCTAAAAATACCTATGTAAAAAAATAGGGTTCCAATTTGAAAAAAAATCCACCTCGATATGGCCATATTATGGTCAGCTATAAAAAAATAATTTGGCCAAAATGTTTCCCCTAAAAAACTATAAAACTTCTGTCTGATACTTTTTTTTTATAAAATTCATATTTTTGGCGATATTTAACTGTAAAACTTTAATTTAAACACCCGGTATAATCATCAACATACGTTCTTTTATCACAAAACACTAAATTATAATACCAACTTACTAGAAATCATCGTTCAGATTTGGTAACTAGAAACAACGTAACGACGGCTCTATCAAGCTAGCGGGCACTCTGTGGCGGCACCATTCAAGACCTGGCGGGTTTTTTGTAGCTTTTTTGTAGCTTTTTTGTTACGCTATTTGCAAATTTGTAGCTTAGCCCAGGTCCGAAAAAACAGCGGATCCGCTAGCTTGAATTTCCATAAATTCCATAATAGCGGCACAGATTCAGACCCAGCTGGTTTTTCGTAACTTTTTTGTAGCTTTTTTGTTACGCTAGTCTCCCTTTTGTAGCTTGTACTGAACCTGAGAAAAGCGCTGATCCGCTAGCTTAGCAGATATTTGTAGCGGCACCAGCCCGGACCCGGCTCATTATTTGTAACTTTTTTGTAGCTTTTTTGTTACGCCTGTCTCGATTTCGTTGCGAGGCCTGAACGTGAGTAATAATCGTTTCTCCATGAGCATGAGAGAAAAGTGCGTTAATTTAAAATCAAGTTTCTGCCTCTACAAGTAAATATGTGCAACTCGATAGTGTGACTATCTGTTGATAGATGGCACCAGTATTGCATTTCACGAATTATGGCCATCTTCCATCCAATATATTTTTGAGAAATTTAGATATAATCTCAAAATCGGACATTTGTTTTTAAATGTTTTTTAGTGTTGTTTATGTATTTATACTTTTGTTGAATCAAGAATATTCTTACATCTTTTTTGAATGATTTCCTTAACCACTCGTTTTGCAGTATTTATGGACCAGTGTGAAGTTAGCAGTAAGTTTTTAGCAGTAAAAATAACCGAAAACACCCAATCGGGAAAATAGTGGCGTCCGGCATACAACTATTTTATAAAATCTTGTCAATATGTATTTTACATTAATAGAGGACAAATAATTAATATACATTATATATTTATACAATGTACATACCGTTGAAAATGTCCGATTTTGAGATTATATCTAAATTTCTCAAAAATATATTGGATGGAAGATGGCCATAATTCGTGAAATGCAATACTGGTGCCATCTAGCAACAGATACTCACACTATCGAGTTGCACATATCACTTGTAGTGGCCGAAACTTGATTTTAAATTAACGCACTTTTCTCTCACGCTCATGGAGAAACGATTATTACTCACGTTCAGGCCTCGCAACGAAATCGAGACAGGCGTAACAAAAAAGCTACAAAAAAGTTACAAAAAATGAGCCGGGTCCGGGCTGGTGCCGCTACAAATATCCGCTAAGCTAGCGGATCCGCGCTTTTCTCAGGTTCAGTACAAGCTACAAAAGGGAGGATAGCGTAACAAAAAAGCTACAAAAAAGTTACGAAAAACCAGCTGAGTCTGAATCTGTGCCGCTATGGAATTTATGGAAATTCAAGCTAGCGGATCCGCTGTTTTTTCGGACCTGGGCAAAGCTACAAATTCGCAAATAGCGTAACAAAAAAGCTACAAAAAACCCACCAGGTCTTGTATGGTGCCGCCACAGAGTGCCCGCTAGCTTGACATAGCTCGTAACGACTTTGTTATTGAATAGAGTTTCAAAAATTATCGTTATAAAAGTCGTTGGTTGAACTGTCGTTAGCTTAACGATGTCGTTCATAAACGATAAATTACTGAATAGGGCCCTTTTCCTATAGGAATTTGTGACACTTTCCTACATGTAGACAAATGTCATAAATTTCCGATGTGTAGAAAAATGTCAAAAATTCCTATAGGAAAAAATTCCTACGAGTCGAGAATCGACCCCCTGGGACTCGATTCTCGACATAAATTCCTATAGGAAATAAGTCACTTTCCTATGAAAATCAAGTTTTGGTATTCTTGATATACCTATAGGAAATCAATTCCTACAAAATGAATTCCTATGGGGTTTGGCTGTAGGAATTTGGTGTTTTGACATTTGCGGTACGTGCGCAATGCTGTTAACTCTCATTGCTGTCATTTGAATACCATTGTCATTTAAATTTTGAATGATTTTTTCAGTTGTATGTTACTAAAACGGGCCTATTCAGTAACTCTGAACGTCGTCGTTAATAGACGATAATCGTTCACAGACAACTTTTATTATTCAGTAGACAACGATTATCGTTGAAAATAGACAAATATGGTTGTAAAATTGTCGTTCATCAACGATAGCCACAGAGCTGTCGTTAATAATATGAAGTGTCGTTAAAGTGATTTTTCCATTCCCTCCCATTTTTTATCGTGAGCAAAGATGTGTTTTAAATAATAAAAGCACTTTTTTACAAATTTTACAACTAAATTGCCATCTACCTAATATAGCAAGTACAATTTGTAAGAAATTTTTTTCTAATTTATTTAATTATTTTAAAAATAAATCTGATTCAAAGTTAGTATTGCCCATTCGACCATTTACTATTGGATTCTTATTAACAGTGCTGTTCCTAAAGTAGCACTGCGAAACAGTAATAAAACCTATATTATGGAAGTACCTATTATAATACTACTCTGTAACCTAAACAGAAAACGAGGCTAATGGCCTGAGTTGCCAGGAAGCAGGTTTGATAGTATCAAATTTTGTTTCTGTCTTTCAAATCCAATAAATACAACTCGTACTGTTCTCGAGTTGTTTTTTGTATTCTTTTGGACTAGTTCTGTTTTTTTTAATATATCCATACTCATTTAAATAAACCCTACATACAATACACCAGCAAATGGCCCGCGAGAAACAGAATTCCTACGAGTCGAGAATCGACCCCCTGATCGGGTTGTAGGTTAAGAATAATTAATATATTCTGAAAAACAAATGAATATATCTACTGGTAGAATTTTTATTTTACGTTCCAAAAAAATGTCAAATATACCGGGTGTTCAAATTAAAGTGTTACAGTTAAATGCCGCCTTTTATATAAAAAAGAAAGTTTTATACAGGGCTGGTATATCTAAGGGGGTCGCGACATAGGAGTCCATTTTGGACGCCATTTTTTTCGAAATAGTAGTCGCCATTGATCTGGCAACGTGGCAACTTGTAGTCGCCAGGTTTACCAATATAAGAAAAAAAATCAATGTCATTTTTTAAATGACATTTCCATTATAAAATGCCCATATTTTTTATGATAAAATATTTCAATTTAATAAATTATTAATCTCAGATGTACATAGAATACGTCGGGAAAAGTAGATCACTTTCAATTTTGTGCTGTTTTGGTTTTGTTTATTTTAAAAGGTAATTGAAGAGATGAAGACAATTTTCTTATAGATGATGCATAACAAATTATTGCTCCCTTTTTTAAAGCTCCAGTCCCTTAAGTCTATTTATTTTAGGTTTTTTTATTAATTGTTGTTAGGTATTATTCACTTCATTTGTATGTTTTTAGTTAATTTAAATAAGTTTGTGTAATATATTGCGATTTGTTTTCTATACATTTTAGCATGTATTTGTTGTCTACATCTCACAAAGGATGGCTTTGAAATACCTTTACAACAGAGGTACTTTCCTAAAACTGGCCGAAATTTGAAACTGAATACAGTTCTTAGAGAAAATCTCCACTAAAAAATGTCTGCATGCAGAATAACAGTAGCATAGATTAACAAAGCTGACAAAAGAGTTGGACAAACCTTTGTCTAATTTTTTTAATATTTCAGGACAATATTGTTCACAGCAGACTACAACAAAAACATCCAAAGTTTAGTAATCAAGCAAAATATTCCAGTATCTCCAGAATTATAAACGTATGAAAACTATAATAGAAAACATGTATGGTTTCAAATAGAAAATTATCAAAATTAGCATATCTAGTGAATATTGTATTTAAAGAATATATTTTTATTCAAAACTTTTGTGCTTCTACTCCAATACTAACCATATAGAAGCATATGCATTTTATAGTATTTGCAAGATTCGGATCAAATGTACCCACAATTTATAAAGATTATTAAACTAAAATAAAACATTTCAAATAACACCTGCTTATATGTTTTTATTAAATACACAAATTAGTCTCAACCACACATTTTTTTTTGTTTTTACTTCTAGTGTAAAAGTGACTACTAATTCAGTCTTTCAAGTTTATTATTTATAGAGACCAGCTACTACAAAATATCTTATTGATGATAACTAATTTCTCTTTATTAATGGTTTATTTGCATTTATTAACATTTTACAGCACTTTGTTTATATGAAACATCTATGTAACTCTTAATTAAATCACATTTAAATCAAGTAATTACATTTTCATATTCAACTTATGTATTCTTATTAGAACTTGGTCACTTTTTTTACTTTGAATCTTTTGACTGTGGTAACAGTCCATTCACCAAACCACAAAGTCACTTAAAAATGTTGAAAGAGAATGTCATAAAGGTAAAATTCCTTCTTCTATCGTGTTTTTCATGCAATTTTAGGTTGTAAACGTTTTGTCCAACACCTTTTTTACAATTTATCCCAAGCAACACTATGAAAGATTTAAATCCTGGATTTACAGCATTCAGTTTGGAGATGAGTGCAGTCACAATATAGTTTAAGATATAATTTTCACATGAACACTTATTTACCACAGCACAAACGAATGTACCTATTCATGTAACTTTAAAATAAAGTGGAAACAAATTGCATAATTTGGTATATAAAAAAGTACAAAATGTTTTTAGTTTTAATTCGACATTGAACTACGACTACGAGGAAAACAGTGGTTCATTCCACTTGTACCATATTGACATTATTATGCACGATGCTCGTTCAAACGAACATCAGAAAAGTGTTGCCAACTTAAGCTGACTACTATTTCCCCCCTAGCCTCATTCACCCCCTCATCCATTTACTGGGTCTATGTCGCGACCCCCTTAGATATACCAGCCCTGGTTTTATAGTTTTTTGGGGAAAAAATTTTGGCTAAAATCGTTTTTTTTATAGCTAACCATAATATAACCAACTTTTTTTTCGCGAAGTAGAATTCCAATAAAAAAATGTTTCCTTTAGAAGTTCCTTATTTTTTTATGAATTCTAATACCTATATAAAAAAATAGGGTTCAAATTTGAAAAAAAATCCACCTCGATATGGCCATATTATGGGTCGGCTATAGAAAAATGAATTTAGCCAAAATGTTTCCTCCAAAAAACTATAAAACTTTTGTCTGAAACTTTTTTTTATAAAATGCATATTTTCGGCGGTATTTAACTGTAACACTTTAAACATTAACGTTATAAAAGTCGTTGGTTGAACTGTCGTTAGCTTAACGATGTCGTCCATAAACGATAAATTACTGAATAGGGCCCTAAATTTATTATTTTATAACTCTCATCATGCTCAAGGAACGCTATTAATTTACGTTTCTGTTCTTCTGACAAAAAACCCATTTTTTTTATTTTCACTCATCTTATGTACACCACAATGTCAGTATTTCTTAATTTAGATATAAAACAGACAAATCAAAAACCATGTACCTAAATAAAATCAAACTAACCACGAAATTTAAAAATAAAATCAAAATATATATTATAACCAAACATATAACCAAAGTTTTAAAACCACATCTACCAACATGTAGGATTAAAATTTTATGAAAAATTACCGAAGGTGATTGGTGGTTTTAAATGATTGTTTGAAGTTATCACAGACATACCCTACTTTCAATTCCTATAGGATTTCAGATTCCTATTTGATTCGAGAATACATGTCATTGAAGTCGTAGGAAAATACTCGTAGGAATTTGTACTATAGGAATTATTTCCTACAAAGTCGAGAATCGAGACCCTGGTAGGCATTCAGTTTGGAATGCCTAATTCCTAGAATATTTGTTTTTTTAAAGTTGGCCCTGGCCGCCTGGTGCCCTGTCGGTTGTCATTGTCAATTTCCTGGATAACAAAAAACCTAACCTTTTCTTCTTTTTCCCACGTCTTTAAATAAAGTTAAACGTTAAAAGTTGAAAGAAATAAAATAGTTTATTTATTGTTAGAATTAGTAGAAAGTAATTTTTAATTGTTTCAGTTTCAAACGTTTTCATACAATTCACTCAGAATGTTTTGGGGTAAGATGCGTACAATAGATTTATTCAAATATCAAAAAGGAACACCACGTGTTGGCGGTATAATTTATGAATATAAAAAATTACTTGATTTTACTCTAAAGATAATTAGTTTCTTGAAATTTACGCTATTATTGTGCATTGACATGGTTTTGTTAATATTATTTTAGGATTAATTATGGAACCGCAAAGGCGGTATACCCAGAAAGTCAAAAAAGCTTTTCACATATCTATGGCATCCTTGGATGTATCTACATCATCTGAAGAACCGGCTCAAGTGATGGTAGGATTCGAGGGAAGAAATTACCTACTGTGTACATTGAGAAAACCAGACTTGTTACAGTGTGCCCTAGATCTTAATTTTGAGGTAAGTAGAAAACCAGTCGAAGTTATGTTCTTTTACAATAAATTAGTAAATGAAAGTGTTGTTTTTCTGTCTCTATCTACGATTTTTTATGTATTATTATATAGAGAGAAATGTTTTTTCTTAAAAATAAATATCTTAGGTTGGTGATGAACTTTCCCTTGCTGCTAATGGGAAATGTCATGTACATCTAACAGGTTACTTAATAGAAGATCCTGACGAGTTGCTTGAAGATGATGATGATGATGAAGATGAAGAAGAGACTGTAGAAAAGGAAGTTAAGAAGAAAAATAAAAGAAACAAAGAAGAGGTTGCAAATGGCCGTAAGTTAATAATTAGTTCAATCATTACGTTACAAAAAAAATGTGTTTAATTCTATATAGTCACTAACTTTATTAAAAAAAAATTTAAAACCATTTCTTTAGTAGAATTTCCAAGAATGTATCAACCAAGATCAAAATTACTGTATATAATGCCATACTTTAACCACATTTTGATTAAACTTAAATTAATTAAACATGATATGAGAATAATACTGAATACTAATCATCTTACTCCAATGATTTTGGTGTTTAAAATAGTAAATCATGTATCATATCACACCAGAATAGAGATAGGAAGCACAATGTGTGTGTATCATACAAAATGTGCGATACACTTTAATGTATGGTGTACTTGGTGTACAATTTTATTGTACTGGTGTGCTGTACGGAATGTACTAGTACAAATAATTCTACCAGAATTGTCATCACTACCCAATCCAGCAATATAGAACCTTCAACAATAATATTAATACTTATAACATAAGTGGTACAAATAATACAAGAACTACATATCAAAGTACTATAAATTCTTTAATATTTCAAAAATTTCAATGAACTTTATCTGTAAATGAATTGACCACTGCAAACTTGAATTTAATTAAGATTTTACTTGATGTTTTCTGTGTCATATTGATTTGTATTTGTCATTTTAAATATACCTATATGTATGTTAATGGTTTTCATTTATGAAATTTTTAGTTTTATGTAAAATCTTTTTATTCTTTTATATATGTATACTAATTCAATAAAGGTCTACCTACTTATATCATAAACAATCAGTCCTATGGAAGGGCTCATCCTGATTTGTGTATGTGACAGTCATGGGCACCATTCAACAAATTTCCAGGGATAGGCAAGTCTTATAGGCAGGATCAAAATGCTGCAGTTTATAGTCAAATGCAGACACCCTCACCACTTGCGCTCGTGTGGCATTCAAATAGATATTTTTTTTTTATTTTTCCGAGGACAGCGCCCTAGAACCCTGTCACAATGGCCTCCACTAGTTCTATGACAAATGATCAAAATATTTTTTTTAGATTATTAATTTTTTTTTTATGTAAAAGTTTTTCCAGATAATGTTTACAGAGATATAGTGCACCGAACTTTATAGTTTTCTACCTAGAATATTCATTAACGGTAAATCCTATATAGTAATGCCTTTTATAAAACATACAAAGCATTATTGGCTCTTGTAAGTGCTTTTAAATGTAACATTAAAAGATATTTTTGAAAATATATTCTTAAGAACATCTTTTATCTAAACATTTTTGTCTAAACCTTTTTTGCTGAATTATTAAGAAAACATGAAAATATAAAGGTTTGTTCCAACTTGATACATAACCATTCAGTAACGGTACAGCGCATGCGTATTACACTCCAAGCGTTCCAACTTAATTTGTACGATGTGCGGGTTGATACAGAATTCGTTCCAACTAAAAAATGGATGATTCCGGAATCGTTTCTGTACCGTCATATCGATTCACAAATTTTTGTGGAACTGTTAGAACTGACTTGCGCAAAGCGATCGATATATGTTGATAGAGCCGATAGATGTTTAGTTTTAGTTAACTTACAAATTACAAATTTACAGCGTTTTTATGTTTTGATAGGTAGATAATAACAAAATATACATTTTTATTTAGAAAATACTGTTTATAAATCATATTTGGAAAATGAGTAATATAGAAGGAGACGGTGATTTTTTTGATGTTGATGCTAGGATGATTTAGAATTAATGGTAAATTGAGAAAGGATAATAAACAAAATTATTTGAACAGAATATATTCATTATTTACCAATATTTTCCATTGTGCTCTAGAATATAGAATGATACAATAAAAAATCAATAACATCCATAATTATAAAACACAACTAGTTTATTTTTATTTTCTTTTCGAAAAGTTTGGTTAGAATTTTCTTCCTCTTCTATTTTATCTATTTATGAACCATCAGCAGTTTTAAAAGCGTTCCAACTCATTTTCGATTCCAAAACCATTCAGAGATGGGCTTGCGCAGTACATCGTTCATAAACTGATGTTGGTATGATACAAGAACGGTACCAAACACCAAGTTGGAACAAACCTAATGTATCCAATTATTTTAAAGTGTGTCCCAAAAAGCTTGTTTTGCATTTCACAAAAAAATTATTTTGCTTAAAAAGTTCTACATCACTTTGAAATCCATAATAAGTATAAAATTTGAAATATTGAAAACTTTCCAATTACAGCTATTGGTTGGATTATTTATTGAATACAGTAAATTGAATTCACTTAAAAACAAGTGCAATAATTTAAACTGAATCATGGTTTTCAATTCCTATCAACATTTTCAAATATTTTACTATTTATTGAAATTTAAAATTACTTCACTTTTCATTATAAATATTTTTTTTCACTGTATACTCAGTGTTTGGTCTTAGAATATCTTAAAGGGAGACAAAATTGGATTTGCCCCCTTCCCCCTTAAATTTTTTTTAGAAAATGATTAACTATATTAGTGTATTTTTTTATAATTATTCATAGTTCTGCTACAATAATAGTCAACTAAAGAAACTGTTTTAATAGAATAACTTTAATTGCTTTCTTTTGGCATTATTGTTTATCGAGTCTTTCATAATTCACTGAACTTGCTTTGTCATTCTCAATAGATAGGTTGACAGTCTTTCTTGATTCATTGTTATCCATAAGTAACTTTATATGCTTAACTGTAAGCAAGAAATCATGATCTGCTGAAAATGTTAAAAAAAAATCGCACATAATTTTCCTAAAGGGGGGCGAAACCCAAGTGTCCCCTATTTTGTACGCCTCTGATTAAATTTTCTTGCAGAAAATATCGCTAAATTCAAACCCTCTAAATGTCAGATCACAGGTCAAATGTCATAACCATAGCTCTAATGGTTGCGATAATATTAATACTAATTCAAGTTTTTGTGCCAACTTTTAGAACCACCTTTTTATATATAGGTCTTTTCCTTTGCATTGAAAGTGTAGCACTGAACTACGCCACTTCTGAAAATATCGTTCCATCCATACAATTTGTATAAATGGAACGGTATTTTCAGAAGTGGTGTAGCTCAGTGCTAAACTTTCGATGCAAAGGAAAATACCTATTATTACCTCTTAAAAATGTATGATTGCTAACGTGAAACATCCTGTATGTTCAGTGATTTGTTTGATCGGTATAAAAATTTTGAGGTGTGTTCTTTTATTCAACAATTGTTCCATCAGTGATTGATGTCATGACGTCACTGATCAATTTCTGTTGCAATATATTTGCGCTGAAAATAACGAACGTCATTTCTCAAATGAAAATATTTGACTTTTGACATCACTTCAAAAATTAAACCTGTTTTAATTTAAATCAACAGTAATTTATCTCTTCTGCAGTCGTTTTATATTTAAACTCTTATATTGTAGGTTAACTTATAACTAAATAATCATGTTCACACATTCAAACAAATTGATTAACTATCCTCACCATTCATCGACTTTTAAGGTGGATTCATAAACTACGTTCCGTTCGCGCTCAGTTGCACTTGGCAAGACATAACCACAAATTCCACAAGATAAAATTATTTTTTGGTGTTATTTTTGTTTTAATTATATTGGTAGATGGTGTTGGTTATAAAATAATTAGGTCTTTTCCTTTGCATCGACAGTGTAGCACTGAGCTACGTTACTTCTGAAAATGTCGTTCCATCCATACAATTTGTATAAATGGAACGATATTTTCAGAAGTGGTGTAGCTCAGTGCTACACTTTCGATGCAAAGGAAAAGACCTATTATGAATCCGTTATAACTTCTTATCCAAAACATATTTACTGTGTCATTTAGCTCTGTTTATGTTGAACTCGAACTGAGCGTGAACTGAACGTAGTTTATGAATCCACCTTTAAGGTGGATTCATAAGGTCTTTTCCTTTGCATCGAAAGTGTAGCACTGAGCTACACCACTTCTGAAAATATCGTTCCATTTATACAAATTGTATGGATTATATAAACGGATTATGTTGTTCGATCATGTTCGTCTATCCCCCTACCACATATTGTGTGTATTATCGCGAAAATGGAAAATCCATGCTGTTTTGAAAGTGGGCAGTCAGTTGAAGTAACAATTTTTTATTACTTCAATTACTCATGTGTATGTAAACTACGCGATTTTTCCTAAGAGTAAAAACAGTTTAATTATTTTATATTAATATTTAATGTACCTAAATATATTGTTTAAAAATTACAACAAATTTTACTTGTGCTATTTTAATTAATCTATTTATATTTACTATATTTTAATTGTTGAATAATTTCGTCACTTTTCTCTACTTCAATTTTAATCTTATTTAATTTAAATTTTAAAATTGAAGCCATCTTTTATCTTTGTATACCGTCTCTAGTCATTTGTTAAACACAAAGTAATGTAACCGTCTGTGGATGAGATCATGCTCGAGTATGCTAAACAGTGACGTCATTACAACCTCCCCTGTGGTCCTTGGTGTCGGCCAAAATGGAAGATCATGTCTAAATAACATAATCTATTATAAACGTTCATGTTGGTTTATGCTGTGAAAAATACCTTATGCAATCGTCTTTCCATCGCGTAATTTACGAACCGTTTGCTGCAAGTGCTGGATACAGCGCTGCATAAAAGAACACGCCTGTGATGTCCTCGTGGTTTGACTTTTGATGTATGAAATTGGCTTTCTATGAATTTATATAACCCTACCTATATATAATAATAATAATTGTCATTTATTGAACTGAAAATTCAGTCTAATAGGCATATATAATAATAATAACAATAATAATAATAATAATAAAAAAAATAATAATAAAAGTGCTTTATTGAAACTTAAAGAAAGTTACAAAAGGCCATTGACCGAGGTCCTTCAGCAACCTTATATATATTTTTTTCCATCCCAAATAATTATAAAGAAACAATATAGGATCTGAGACAAGCCACAGATATTCTACAATTTTACATCTGTTTTCCATCTACGTGTGACAGTTTAGGTTCTTTTGTTCGTCCCACTAGTGTAGGAATGAACTTCACCAACAGACACCATACCTTTCGTTTGGCCGGTGTAAAATCCATTAACCTTTCGATCGGCGTTGTATTGTCCACTGGTGGATACTTCTTCCACCAGCTGTTTAGCAGGAATGAATTACACTCGACATGTGTATAAAGAAAGGAAGTAAACTAGGGCAAATAAGGTTGGTGTAACTGGCGTAATTTACACTGGTGGACACTGCACCAACAGCGAATGAAAGAACCTTTTGTATTCCCCAAAAATATATAATTGAAATTGTGAAAAACTGCCAAATGAAAATAGTCCATATTTTTGTTCTCTCCACTGAAAACTAACAGTCCCTTATAGCCAGTCCCTTTTGAGTGTTTATAATTTACCTGTATATTATAAACTTATAATAAATATCAAAAATTTCTGTTTTACACCCCATTATTGATATTTTTTGATTTTTTTTATTTTTTTTTTAATGTTTGTAGGCCATAAAAACTATATGTTTGTATAGTAATTATTTAACCTGTTATTTAATTTTGATTGATTTGGCCGCCTGGGCTGCTTGGCCCATTTTGCTCTCCCTCTCCCCTTAATCCAGCACTGTATACTACCAAACATTTTATAAATATAATGCGGGCTTATGGATTTCCAAGTGATGTGGAACTATAACAAGAATAATGTTTGTGTGAAATATAATATAACCTATTTCCCATTTGTGTAAAACTGTTTGTGACACATTCAGTTTCTTAAATAAAAAAATACTTACAGCTCCAGTTAAAAAACTAAAAGCTAATAACAAGAATGCACAAGCTGAGGATTCAGATGATGATTCAGATGAAGATGATAGCGACGTTGGTGTTAAATATTTGTTGCAAAAAACCTTAGAAAGCGACGAAGATGATGACACCTTCGTATCCGATACTGAAGATAATGGAGAGGAAGAAGATGTTGGCGAAGAGGTTAATAGCGATGTAGATGAAGAGGAGGTAAACAAATTTGGTAAAGCTTTTTTTACTGATTTTTTTTTTAATTTCTATATTTTCAACAGGAAGATGATGAAGATGAAAGTTCTCTAAGTGAAGCTGATAGCGATGATGAATTGGCAACCCCGAATCCGACTGCTAAATTGAACGGTTCGCCAAAAAAACAAGAAATCATAACGCCGACCAAACAAAAAGAGAGGAAAGATAAGAAGAACGAGCAAAAGAAGCAACAAACCAAGGAAGTTAAGACGCCCAACAAAGAGAACAAATCGCCTAAAGCGAAAGAAGCCAAGAAGGCTGTACTTCAAAACGGGCTGATCATAGAAGATATAAAGGAAGGTCAAGGTCCACCTGCTAAACCAGGCAAATTCATTAGCGTAAGTAATCTTTTTATATATAATGAAATTTCCCACATTTCTTTTTCTGCAAAGTTGATATTTATTGACTAATTTGTAATTATACTAAGTTTTCTTTTTTTTTTTTTTTTTTAATTTTTGAAAATATCTCAACATTTCATTTAGTCTGAGAACTGACTGCAAAAAATCTAACAGAACATCAGTCAAAATAACAAACTTCGCTGCTAAATTTTTCAAGGCAACCCTAGTTATTATCAAATAAGAGGCTTTCAACTTTCATTTAAGACAAATTGCGTCTAAATAAAAGCACCATTCGGAAAACTAGCGATTAGTCGCACTCAATCGAGGGTTAACTTAATTTGACATCAATTGCGACAAAATTGAAGCATCCTTTGCTAAACGTGTGATTAAGCGCTTTTTGGTGCTCATATTTTGTCGCAATTGATCTCAAATGAAAGCTGACAGCCTCCTCTTTGCCAATAATTAGGGTTTCTTTTATTTGCAGTCTCCATTAATAGTGACTAACCGCGCGTTTTGCAAAAGGTGCTTCTATTTTCCCGCAGTTGGTGTCGAATGAATGCTAAAAGCTCCATCTTTACTAATAACTAGCGTTCCCTTTGTTTGCAGTCTCCAATAATCGCGACCAATTGCGCGTTTTGTGAAGGGTGCTTGTATTTTGTCTAAATTGGTGTCAAATGAAAGCTGACAGTCTCTTCTTCAAGAATAACTAGGATTGCCTTTGTTTGCATTCTCCATTAATCGTGACTAATCGCACATTTTGCGAAAGGTGTTTCTATTTTGTGGTAATTGGTGTTAAATGAAAGCCGACGGTATCTTCTTTAACAAACTAGAGTTGCCTTTGTTTGAACTCACCCCAAAAATGTAGCACCGTAGTTTGTTGTTATTTTGAAGGGTGCATAAAATCAGAGCAAACCATGGTTGGCTCCCAGTCTAATAATTGTTTATTATAAAATTATCTATAAATTTAATTTCAAACATTCTTTTTTGTATCATTAATTACCATTAAAAAAAATCTGGACTTACCTTGTTTTTCTTTTCAGGTATACTACGAGGGAAGACTGAAGAGTAACAACAAAGTGTTTGATGCGACAAACAAAGGTGCCGGATTCAGTTTTAGATTAGGAGGTGGCGAAGTAATTAAAGGTTGGGATGCCGGATTAGTTGGTATGAAACTTGGCGGTAAAAGACGGTTAACTTGTCCACCAAATATGGCGTAAGTATTTTTAAAATCAATTTATAATATATTTTTGTATTTGTTAATCAAATCAATGGTAGCAGCCACACTCAAATAGAATATATTACATGTTATGAGGATGTCTATGGTCGGCGCTTAAAAAGAAATCATTTTCTCTATACTGTAAGAAGTTAAATGAGTTAATTTCACAATTGTAGTGTTTAAATGTTTTATCACCCTGTATACCCTGTATAGCCACTTCACAAAACATGTCTTAACATAGTTTTATAATGTTTTATTAAATATATCAAAAAACTAAACTAAACGGTGTTTAAAATAGTTAAGAATGTCTAACGGGCATAAATGCCTACATACTTGCGTTCGCCTGATCAAAATTCAAGTGTTCCCATTCCCCTAGGATGCAGCGACGAGCGCGTTGTGATATCGTCAGCTTCAGCGGCACCGATCTCCTAATTCGCTGACTCTAACAGTACAAAGGATCCAAATTATTGGGTGATTTTAATATTTTTCAGCATAGAGTTTTAACAGCTCGAAAGATTTTTTTTTTTAAATAACTACAAATACCCCTATTTTTCTAAAGAGTAAACTTATGATCCTTTAAGCACCGACTATAGAAACCTTGCAGGTAAATATTTGCAGGGGAGTTTTCTTTCCACTTTTGTGTTATTTTGAAGAGATTATGATCAAGTGGTGGATTCTCTTCTCGACTGAATTAAAACAACTTATAGATTTGTTCCCGTTTTTATTAAAGTAAAAAAATCTATCGGAATCTTTGATTAGGGTGTGTAAATTCCTGATTCGATGCCTAAAAAGTAAAACTATTGATTTTTATCAAACTATTTGCTTTTTGCTCTTCAATTTGACGCATTTTTTTTTAGATTAATTTTAACTCGTTTCTTTTTAAGATATGGTCCAAAAGGTTCGCCGCCAACTATTCCAGCCAATTCAACGTTAGTTTTTGAAGTGGAACTTAAAAAAATTCGTTAATCTGTGTTGGGATTTTTAATTTTAAGTTTCCAGATAGTTTTTTTTATATTACGCCATATTGGATAATAATAGGTATTTTCCTTTGCATCGAAAGTGTAGGACTGAGCTACACCACTTCTGAAAATATCGTTCCATTTATACAAATTGTATGGATGGAACAATATTTTCAGAAATAACGTAGCCCAGTGCTACACTTTCGATGCAAAGGAAAAGACCTATTGTGTATTATGTTAGGTTTCACCATTTGTTTTTAGGTTAATATTTGTCATAACATATTTGTGTCACTTAGTTTATATTGTTCCTTTTTTTACATTAAAACCATCGGTTTTGTATATTCATTTGTACTGATTACTATTCATCTTTAATATAGTTAGTTACAATAAACTTTATTTTTATTAGTTTTGTTTTATTTCTTTTTAACCACCAATTTAGTATCGGTATTCAGCATAAAATCAAATTGTTCAATGGAAGTAAGTTTAATGATTTCTGAAGGAACACTACTAGGACCGTTATTTTTCGTTTTTATAATTTTTTTCACTTATCATTTTTGACTTAAGCATAAATGAGGAAATGAAATAGATTATAGTATTTTTTAAATATTTTATCGATTCCGTATAAAGAATCGTTCTAAATCGGAAAATCCATTTTAAATTTACATGTAAATATCGATAGTTCAGTCTAAATCAGACATATCCAAATTTAAAATTACTTTTAGAAAACCGGTCAAAACTAGTCATCCAATCATACTTTAATACATTATCCACAAGAGATAGAACAAAACAAGAAATATCCATAACAAATAAACCTTGATTTTGTTCTGAAAGAATTTTGAAAAAACATTCTATCATTCATAACCCTGAAGAATATCAAGAATATTACGGGAAAGTTGGTCGGGTTCCTATTCTTGGCAAAGACATGAATGTATGACATAAAAAATCTACAACCTACAATAAATTTCCTGGGATCAAAGATTAAAAAAAAAATACTTAAAAAAGATTGTTCTGTCAGGGTCAATCTTTAGTTCAATACAAAAGAAGTGCTTTCTTTAATTTCGAAAATTATGAAAATGCTATTTTCGAGAAAGAAAAAACCAATGTTAAATCTTTTAGAGAAACAATTCAACGACAACTTTAAGTGGCAAGAATTTCTAATAAAATTTTTTTCTTATAACACTTCCCAAGTCAGAGAGGAGGATGTACCAGAAAAACCAAAAGAATGCGACTGCATGGAAGATCATGCTTTACATATCTAAATTTTTTAACAAATAGTTTGTTGGATTTTAAGTTTTTCCTATTTTAATTCATAAGTTGCTAACAGTTTCTTTGTATCTTTTTTGTGTAATAAAATAATGTTAACAAAACATTTTTATTGAGAAATATTGGCTGACAATAATAAAATAAGAGGGGGTGGCTCAGTGGTCGAGTCTCTGCCTGCGGATCCCAGGTTCGAAGTTCACCGTTGGCCGGGATTTTTTTATTTAATTTAATTATTTAAAATTAATTCTGAGGCCTTGGTAGGATTTCCCACTCGGCCATTCATTGTTGGGTATTAATACTCCTGCACTACTAGTACAATCCATAACCTACATAGAACACGAGGCTAATGAGCTTAGGCCCGTATTTATAAACAAAACTCTGCTGAGTGGACTTGGGTAAGTCGTCCTTGAACGAAAATCGAAGTTCGGTTATATCGCGTGAATTTAGAGATGGGTAGTAACAAATCCGTAAATGTACGTAACAGTTACAGATTTGCTAATATCCATCTCTAAATTCCAGTCTAACACCAGAACCACCTAGAACTTTAGATGCGTTGTAACCGAACTTCGATTTTAGTTCAAGGACGACTTACCCAAGTCCGACTCAGGTAAGTTCTGTTTATAAATACGGGCCTTAGATGTTGAAGCCAGACACCAATATTTTTTTTTTTAATAAAATTATTGAATAAGACAAAAAAGCATTGCCGTGATCACGCAAAAACAGACATCCAAATTGCATTCAGACAAAATCAGATATGTCCATTATTTTTTTTAGGTTTGCCCGTCTATAACACAGGTCTATAAACTATATTTTTCTACACCCACATGGATATTAGCTTATCTACGCACAGATTACAAAACGAAACAGTATGCTGTTACCTTCAACTGAACGAATATATTTCATATCGATTCTAGGTAGTGAGAACACTGCAAAAACAAATGAAATCCACCAATCACCGTTCATATTTTGGTCAACCTACTGCTATTATTTTTTAAATTTTAAATAAGTGACAATTCTGTCAAACTAATTGTCAGTATATTTTTTAGTTATTGCGATTAAACATACATTAAAATGGGTTATTCTTGTGTAGAAAAAATAAATAAAATCACCATGCGCTACCGTTTTCGATGATGGTGGGTGGGGTTTTCCTCACCTGTAAGTCAAATGGCACCATCAATCATCTTTAAGTCACCCCGGAGCGCCACGGCAAATAATAATAATAGCCGTCCCTTTCCCCGCACAAGCTCATCTTTTGGGGTTATAATTCACTCGTAAGGGAGTGAATTAGGGAGAGAGTATTATTATTATTATTTCGTCTATAATTATAAATAATTTGTTAATTTAAATAAAACTATATGAAGTATTAAAGCAACAATAATAAAAGAAAAGGTGGTCCTGCAGTTAGCGTTCTTGCCTTCCACGCGGAAGATTGGAGTTCGATTCTCGGATGGGGAAAAATAAAATGAACTTTTTTCGTTTATTTTATTTTAAAAATTATTAAGTCATAAATCATTTTAAAATTAGTTATTTTGTCTTAATAACCTAAAATATTTTTTTATTTGTAAATTTTCGTTAGTGGGTCATAGAAAAAATATACTGCTCAACTCGAGTGGTTTGTCCACATCGCGCAAAAAGTTTTTCGTGTTTTCTCCAAATAAGTTTATGAGGACATGTCTGGTTTTGTATGAACGCTCCTTAAATGTGCTTATTCAGCAGGTTTTAGTTACCTCTCGTTATGAACGATCTATAAAGTCAATACGACAAGAAATTTTAGATTATTTATTTTAAAACAAACTTAACTTTATAAAATGCCATGTACAAACACCTTTATGTCACACAAAAATAATATGAAACAGCAACTTCTGCAAAAGAACTCTATAAGTTCTGTCAAATTTACTCAAATGAACCCAGTCCACTGATCTCCATACTGTTACAGTTCAGTGACCCAGTCTAAACTGGGCAAAAAAGAGTGCACTCCAGACAATTTGACTCGACTTTCTGAACGAGAGTAGCTAAACGTCCAAATTGAACACTCGACTGTTCTTGAACGAACCAAGACCAAATTGATCGCGCTCTTTTTGGTCGAAGCGCGTTAAAAAGAAGGACGTGTTTTCGTTTGTAACAAATGTTATCATATTTAGTGAATAAAATAAGATTTAAATCAAAAGTTGTTTTAACCTAAGAGTTACAAACTTATTTACCCATTTTCTCCAATTAATAAGTGTGTGGCTTAGCTCTTTTCACCACCAATACGATATATTTGTTACATTACATCAGCATAAATAAAATAATTTTTGTTTACCTTTGCATAATTAATAAACTAACAAAATACAAATATATACATATCTATACAAAAAAAAGTTAAAAGGCTTGATTTAAAAGAGATGATATATATCTGCGTCTACATGTATGAACTCAGCTAGGTATCTCGTAATATATACCTAGTCATTGTTGCAATCATCTATTATTCACGACCTAGTTTTAGCATCATACAATTGCCATCTTGAAACGTACCTTATATAAATATAGTTTTGTACAATCGTTCACTATTTAAGCTTCTTATGAACCTTATTATACTATTAAGCTAATTTTGTGCAATCGTTCAGTGCTTTATAGGTGGCTTCTATTATCGCACATGCGTAACTGCGTTTATGATATACCTACCTCTACTTTTGTGATATTGCTACTTGATTTCAAGAACATTTTAATAATAGATTTATATATTTTGTTTTACTTGAAATTTCCATGTCTCGATTGAGATTTTACAATAACCTCAATTTCAGCCTCTCTGTATTACATTACACAAATGGATGGACTTAATTATTGTAAAAATATTTATTTTAAATTAAAAAAAGTTATTTTTCATAATTTCTCAATGTGAAGAATTACTTTAATTTAAAATAAATATTTTCACAAGTATAGTTAAGTCCATCCGTGGACACACTGTATAATGCTGTAGAACTAATTCACATTATAACATCTATAAAAAGTTTCAGAGCAACTTTCGGGGTAAGTACCGTAAAAGTGTTTTCCAAACTTTACTTTGTAACCTCTGCAAGATGTGCTATAAAAGTCGTGCCGTTGCGGACATTCGGCGGTTGCAAGGATATTAGGGTCGCATTAAAAGTACATCGCATGCCAGCTTAGAGCCTAAAATTGTAGCTTATTAACGTAGATGGGATGTTTTTGTGCTAGCTGGGATATTTCAGAAGTTAACTACTCTATAAAGTACTTAAGTAGGTATGTTTTTATGTACTTAATTTTTAGGATTTAATTACTAGGTACAAATATCAAATAGATGTAATTGTACTTACAATTGTTAAAAGGATTTGGGACTACAGTACATTTTACTTGTACTTACAGCAGCTCTGATAAAAATATTACCTTTCTACAACTGTAACTGAAACGAAAATAAAAATTTAAAAAATGTGAAAATTAAAAAAGCAAATACTGCAGAAGCCAAGATCGAATGATCAACAACCCGTCTTTCTTTGACAACTCGTATGTGCTAGAATAGTTGTGAAATTCTGAAGAAATGTTATGACGATACTAAAAGGGTCCGGATATTTGCATTACACTTTTACGTCATCTGTCAAACTCAACCTATCGGAGCTAGTCAGTTTTGGTGAGAATCTAGTCTCCATACATTGCGTTCGGTCTGCCAAGTTCTTTTAACTCCTTTAACTCCAAACGACCCTTTTAGCGTTCGGTTTAGTCCGATTAGTGACAGTTTAACACGCTTAAATGTCATTTAAAAGCACCCTAAAATTTGTCCCGCTCCAGCCCCTGACTGACCGAACTCGCCTATAGGTGAGAATAATTTCAATTTTTTTTAATTTTAGTCGCCGTTTTGCTTAGTCTTTTCTGTCAGTCTTGCACCGCTAAGTGCGTCCATTTGTCATATCGCAAAATAGTGTTTATGTCGTCTCTACTTCATTCTATCTCGATAAATCACAGCAACCATTTGGTAGAATAAGAAAACAATCTAGAGATCATTTGGAAAAGTGGTTAGTAAATTACTAATTTATTTTCTACGCCACGAAAATTCATCACCCGGTTTGTTTTGCTCATGTTTTGCTATATACTAAACACGATATATTTATTTTCTCTTTATATTTTAAGATTTTGATCCCGCTGAACAAATTTTATATAAATTCAGTTAAAAGTAAATTTATTCAGTTAATATTTTAAACTGCTTGAAGGCCAAAGTCGCACTTACCTTGTTTTTCTTTTAAATGGTGTATTCGACAACTTAGGCTATTAGCCCTCGTGTTGTTTTTAAATTTTAAAAATAAAACATTTTATTTAATTCACAATGATGTATTAAATGAAAATAATATTTACATACAAATATTCTGGTAATAAGGTATTCTAATAATACATAACGTCAAAAAGAAAGGGCCTGTATTTTCCCCCGAAAATTAAATATGTTCTCCCTCTTGTGAATTTAGATATTGAGTCGCCGAATATCAAAGCCGTGCAAACATCGCGAATACAGGACCAGATTAAAAAGAAATTAAGTAAGAAAAACTTAAAGGATAAGCTCGACGAAAGCAGTATCCAAATCGTCTCCAATTTCCTTGTAGCGCTCCTTTTCCGCCACCAATTCATCTGTAAACATAATAAAACAAATTTGAGGATTTTTGAACGCTTTCGGGCACTTGAAAATCTGGGTTTATTATTTATTACTATAATTAATGAGCATACCTACCAATTTTGTTCGAATCACACGAGTGTCACAAAATTTTTAATGATTTCCTGAAATTGCAATTGCAGTTTTTCTGTTACAACTGATTTAAAATATATACAAGACATACTGTGAAAAATAATTACGACGTAATGTGTATCGGAAAATAAGGACGATTGTTACTATAAAAAATATCTTTATTTTGTACATGATTGAATTAATAATTTAAAAAATGTATATGTTTGCTGCATTCTTTTTTTCTATTTAGTACTATAGATGAGGCAGGTAGGTAATTTAATATTCAGGAGTAATGTTCTAATGAAAGAAATTAAATCACATTAACAAGATTTAACACATTTTAATCCTTGCACAAGTGCTATTTTATAATGTTATTAAGAAGGATAATTATTGAATTAAGAATTATTTCAGAAAAACTTCAAATTATTAGAAGAAAGTTTCTTAATTCATTTAAGTACTATCATCCGTCGGACAACGCTAGAGGTGGAAGCGCCGTAATAATGGGAGATATTTTTTTATCTTGGATGACGATTTTAATGTCAAAAATATTATCTGGAGCTCCAGATTAACAACCACCAAAAATAGGGAATTGCACGCAACAGCAAGTGAAATTGGGTGTGACTACACCAGTCAACAGGAAACCAACCTATTGGCCAACAGACAGAAATAAAATACCCGACTACTGGACTTTTAGAAAAACACCCGAAAACTTTTATTAAAATTAAAAAAAACTTTGACTTAGACCATTCCCCGGTGATAATGAAACGTAATACGCGAAAATATAATCCAAAAAGAAATTTAGACCTACACTGCGTGATAAAAAGACAGACTGGGTAAGTTTTAAAGAAGAATTAAGGGCACTACAAATAATAAAAAACTAGAGTACGAGCTGGAAAAATTCGTCATTGACATAATAGTCTAAGATCCGAAGTAAGGTCGACCTTCACCCATCTGTTTAATGAATGAAAGTTTTTTTTTAATAAGTATAGTATATTACATTACGAGTGTGGAAAGTGACATTTTTCACACGAGTGGGAAATATTGTCGCACGAGGCGTAAGCCGAGTGCGACTATCACACGAGTGTGGAAAATCACTTTTCACACAAGTGATGTACAATATTTTTCCTACGACCACAAAATAATTTCATCAAAAAATGTAAAACCAGATTATTATAATAATTAAAATGTATTTAAAAAAATAATCAACAATAATCGTATTTATTAAATTTTCATAATTTCTAAACAAATAAAAAAAAAATAAAATTCTGGCGCAGCCAGGATTCGATCGCGGTCGTTGGACGGTCTCAAATTGCAAAGTTGATGCTCTAACCAACTGAGCTAACAGGCCTTACGGTAATTGATTGATCTAATCGCTTATGTGTTTAACCAGAATAAAAAGCAAATATATCTTAGTTATTTTAAAATTATTTTAAAAATAATTGTTAAAGATAAATATCTAGGATCTAATTTACAATAATTTAACAATCATATCGATTTTAGCATTAATATGGACATTACATAGATCAAAATAGAAATTATGTGTTTGACATTTTGTGACAGCTACTGCGGAAAGTAGCATATTCTCACTTGGGTGGAAAGTAAATTCTTATTCATACGCGTGTGATATAGGGCACTTTCCATAGGTCTATATAGTGTGATATGTGTCACTTTCCTAAGTGGTCGTAGGAAAAAACATTTTTATAAATATAGCGCAAAAGGATTGCCTAAAATACGGTCCAGACTATTTATTTTCTTAAAATAAAAAAAAAACGTCACCCTGTAAAGCATTCCCCAGATGCTTCGACAATGCCTAAACTTTAATCAGCTTACCGCAGGATAGATTAAAGCTTAAGTTTAAAATTTGGTGTTTTTCTCTTTATCCGTTTTTGGGTTGCCTTCAAAATTCGAAAATTGCAGTTTTCCTCAAATATATCGAATTAGGTCCATTTTAGGGAAAAAATAATAGAGAATGGCATCATAAGTAACTTTTATCATGATTACTATACTTTCCTTATCTGTATACAGAAAGGAAAGCAAAAAATAGCCCTGACCGTATTTTCTTAGGCAACCCATTTGCGGTATATTTAAAAACATATTTTATTTAATAAAAAAAAACTTTTATCCATTAAACAGATGGGCGAAGGTCGACCTTACTTACGGATCCTGGACTATAAAGCAAGGCATTATGGAATAATACACCAGAAATTACAAGAATAAACGTAGGCAATTTATACCCTAGAGCAGCGGTTCTCAAACTTTTTTGGCAATGGAACCCTTTTGAAAAGTTAAATATTTGAGTCCAAAAATAATAAAAAAAGGCCTTAGTACTCAGCTAAGCCGGGTCCACCTTGTAACCCGGCCCCCGGGAATTTGTACCCCTCTCGTCGGGCCTGCAACCTTATAGTACTCCTTTAGTATTCTTCTTTTTATGACTATTATTTTCGCGGATCCCTCAGAGGCTTTGCGGAGCCCTAGGGCTCCGCGGAGCACACTTTGAGAACCGCTGCCCTAGAGAAATAGAAGAAGTTAAAAATAAGAAGAGAAAAGCAAGAAAAAAAGACAAATCACCAGATTCCCCGAAGATAAAGTAGTTTTCAACAGACTAAGACAACAACTAAAAAAGGAAATAATTACTATTAAAAATGAATCTATAGACTGACAACCGACAAAAATACTGATTACTTTCTGTGGAAAGGAACTAGGAAACTTCCAATAGTCCAAATGTCACCAATAAAAGACAATGGAAACCAAGCAAGATAGAATAAACAAATAGTTAACATGTTTGCAAATCATCTCGAAAAAAAATTCAACTGAATGAAGAACGAGGACTCGATTTATTAAAAGAAAAGAACAGAAACAGAGTAGACATTCCTGGGGTTACGCATAAAGAGGTAAGGTAATCAAAGAAAATATCAATTCTAAGAAAGCATCCGGACATGATCTGATTATAGGTGAAATACTATAACAATTACCAAGAAAAGCTGTGGTCAAACTTACTAATATAATAAACACAGCATTTAGGCTACAGCATGTACCTAGCATTTGGAAAGTCACTGAAATTATATATAATCATACGCAAACCTGGAAAACTACCAAATGAAGTAAAGTCCTCCCTGTTAAACGTGCTGTCTAAACTTTTCGAAAAATTTTCACTATAAAGATTGAAACCCATGATAGACAGTAAAAATAGAATACCTGACGACCAGTGTGGATTTAGGAACAAGCATTTCACTAATGATCAAGTTCATAGAATAACGAATGAAACGGAGAAAACACTGGAAGAAAAAAGTATCTGCATCTCACTCTTTCTAGAGGTAGCTCAGACTTTCGATAAAGTATGGATAGATGGCCTTGAATATAAAATAACTTTTTACCTAAGCAATATTGTGACATTTTAAAATCCTACTCGACCGATAAAACTGAAAGAGTTGGGTATTAAATATATAGAAATTTATACTGGCTGAATAGAAAATAAAAACTTTCAATTGAAAATAAACTTTTTAATATATAAACAAGTACTGAGGCCAGTATTGACTTTCCGACATACAGCTCTGGGAGTGTACCAGTAAAAATAAATAAAAATATTAAGGGCAATAGTAAATGCCCCTAGGTATGTAAGGAACGCAGTCCTTCACATATATCTCAGAATTCCTACAGTTGAAAGAGGAAACCGATCGCAAAAAAAAACATGAAAAAAAGACTGCATGACCACACGTCAGTATTGAAGTTCTACAGTTCCTGGACAAACGATACCTAATGAGAAAGCTCAGAAGAATTAAACCATCTGAATTAGTGATGTGAAATTTGGTAAATGCAGAGAACTATCAATGGGTAATGTTATACCAGACCAATATATACATAAATAACATCGAAAGAAATGTTGATATAGTATTTTGTGTTTCTGTTGTGATAACATGAAGTAGTGAAAATGGAAAATAGTTCACGAGTTTAGTCTTGTAAAATGCATGAAAGGTATATGCACTATCGCTAAATGAGAAAACTATTATAAAACATGTGTATGACTACGTAAGGAGAGAGCTTTCATCTGAAACAGTTACTCTTTTAAGACACAGCTCGTGTCGAATCTCCTTGTTTTACACGTATCGTTTGGAGACCTCGTTATTTGTATGTATCATCTTGATTCATCGCGGCAATAGACATTAATTGGGCCAAATTCACGAAGAATCCCGTCCCTTCTCGGTACCGAGTCTTCTACATTTTTGTCCAGCACAAAAGACATTCGAATGCTAATTGTAGCAAATTCGTTATGTGATTCTCAGTTGACCCTACATCTTAATGTCGTCCATATATAGTAGTTAGCTAAGCCTATACTTCATTGCATTTTCTCCCTTAATTAGGAAACCATACCTAGTGGCATTGAGGAGTGGACAGCAAGTTTAGTGCTAGATAGAACTACAATGGACTAAGGCGATCTCCTTAGAAAATGCCTATTTTGATTGGAATAAGCTGAGACTGTATAGTGCCCTCGCTGGAAATGACTTCCACGGTGACATACGTTTGAGTGCTTTAACTATTATTGGTATTACTTTATACAGTTCTAACACTTGGATAAGTCAAGAATGAGGCACACTATCAAAGGCCTTTTGATATACAATGAAAGCTATAAATAGTCTCCGTTTGCTCCATTACCACTGCGTCAATGATGAGTTGTTCTTTTCATCCCCGAGAGTTCTTGATAATCTCTTTTTGCTCTGTGGCCAACAGTTCTGATTTAGGTGCTGGTAGATTTTTAACACCAATACAAGCAGTCATTAACAAGACAGAGTACAAAGGCAAGTGATGGAACGGTATTTATCTTGTATATTGGTTTCATCTTTGGGAAGCAGGAACGTCTTACCCCTAGTAAAATACCAGTGAATTTGGTGTGGGGACTGAAGGAATGTTG